TGAGCCACAGCACCACTTCTGGTTTTCTGGAGGTTAAGTGGAGATAAGAGTCTCAAGGACTTTCCTGCCCAGGCTAGCTTTAAACCACTATCCTCAGATTTCAGCCTCCTAACTAGCCAGGATTACAGGGGTGAGCCACTGGTGCCCTGCTAATTCTCAGTTTTATGGGCTAATTTCCCAAAGGAAAGGTGACAAATTAAAGGCATAGTAGCGATCTATGAGTTTCTACAATTGAGTGAGAAAAAGATACACAATCCAGTAGGAATCTGAGCAGATATTCTAAATTAGATATTACCTTTTCTTTTTCTGCATGATCTTCTGAAAGTGGGAGGAGAGTAGTACCTACCTCAAGCTGGTGTTGAAAACACTAAATGACATGACTGGACACACTGAAAGCTTTTCTAGCGCTTGTAGTTGTTCCCATCATCTGCACTCAGATATTAGCAGTTATTGTCACTCAAAAACAGTCAGTAGTAAAGTGTTCAGCCCCAATAGTAAAATGATGGTAAAATGCCTATATTTAACAGATTAGCAAAAATGTAAACAACAGATTATTTTTAGTGTTTCAAAAGTATGGGGAAATAAATTGGCAGGCTCATATTTTTTATAATATGAATAGCAACCTTTTACAAAATGTGTTACAACAATTACACTTCCAGGAATCTATCCAATAAAATCTTTGGCACATATGTACAAGGATAAATGAATAAGGATATTCACTGTACTGCTATTTGGTAGTAGAGTGATGGGAAATAACCAAAATAACTATGAGTAGTTAAATTATGGTGAACTTATATAATCAATCATCTACAGAAGAATAAGGTACAGATATTGGTAGACATAGGAAAAAGTGTTCTAAGATAACATGGTTAAAAGCAAGTTGTGGAATAAATTTTATGGACTGAAACTTTTTGTTTTATTTTTTAATCCTCCATACCAGGGTGAAAAAGTGCAGCAGTGGAGCTTACAGATGAAAGTGTCCATGGGTGGAGATGGGAGGGAGGGACTGGGAGTGAGTGAGAAAAACAGAAGACACTGTATAAAAGGAAATGTACTCATTACCTGACTTGTGTAATTGTAATCCCTCTCTATATCACCTTTATACTAATAATAAAATAAATTATTTTTTTAAATCCATCATACCCAAATACACACACACACACACACACACACACACACACACACACACACACACACAGAGGCATGCACCTACAAGAATTAGTTTGTTAGGATAGAACTTTATCATCAAGTAGAATTTTTCAGAGTCAGTAAGTAGAATAGAGGGTAGAATTAATGGTAGGCTTTACTATGTCATTTTATTCTGTTTTACATGAGTATCCAGAAAACTTACGTTCTTTTTAATCATGAAACTTAAGTGTCTAGAGTATCTGAACTAAAGATTGAGTTACAGTCTGCAATTGTTACTCCTCTCAATATTTGGTTGGCAGTTGGGACCCAAAAGGCTGGCATGTTTAGTGGGTGGTACAACACAAGTTCAGATAGAACATCTGTCTCATCTAAGTAACATAAGGTTGAGATGTTGAAAAAAATACAAACCAATTTTGGGAAGAAATTAATTTCAGTTAGAAGTATACAGAGACTGGTGATCTCTTGCATAAGAAACATTTATTTTTTTTAAATACATGAGTTTTTATCTGGCATCCTTCTCATATACCATGTGTCCTGAAGTCCCCTCCTGAAGTCTTTTGCTTGTTTTGGATGTAGAAAAATGATATGGAGAGCTGGGCACCAGTGGCTCACACCTGTAATCCTAGCAATCTGAGGATCAAGGTTCTAAGCCAGCCTGGGCAGGAAAGCCCATGAGACTCTTATCTTCAATAAACCACTCAGAAAGTGGGAAGTGGCGCTTGCCTTGAGCTCAAGAGCTGAGGGACAGCGCCTAGGCCCAGAGCAGAGTTCAAGCCCCAGGACCAACCAAAAAAAAAAAGATGATACAGAATAGAATTATGCATACTTTTAGGAATTCCAAGGATACTTTGCAATTTCTTTAGGCTACTATGTGGTCTTAGTAAGTTGTTACGGTGTTTGTTTTGGTGCTTTAAATTTTACATTGAAATCACTGAAAGCTAGTTGGCTTTACTCTGATTTAGCAGAGACCTTCCTCCCCGCCCCCCAATTTTATGTGTCTGATAATTCAGTTTCTTTGGAAACAAGCAATAGAAATGTCCTTCTCAGGTTGTTTAAGGGAAGGGAGAAATTCATAGGAGTTGGATGTGTGAAGGAGGGGATAACCTTCAGGCCTCCTGGGAGACTGGAATCAGGCAGTGGAGAACTGTTCCTTCACATTTCCACACTGCAAGTTATGTTCTGCCTCGTATCCTGCACACCCTTCCCTTCATTTGTCTCACTCTCTATGTGTACCAGCTTGCCCTGCATCTCCATGCCTAGTGGATCTGAGGCCTTACCTACTTTTTCCCTTCTAGACTTAAGAACTGAGACTCAATAATATTTGGGTCCCAATTCTACATTCTTAGAAATGAATCTGGTTAACTGATGCATCAAGTCTAGCACAATATTTATCTGAACCATAGCCACATTTAGATACCCCTGGGAACTTTAACAAAAGTGATTACAAGAAATTTTTATTTTACTGCTGGAATGTTGCGTGGGCATTGGGACCTTTTTCAAGATTCTCTCCTTCCCCCCTTCTCTCTACTCTCTCTTTTGTACTAGGACTTGAATTCAGGGTTTGGCACTATCCTTGAGCTTTTTTGCGCAAGGCTAATGTTCTACCACTTGAGCCAGAGCTCTACTTCTAGCTTTTTGGTGATCATTTGAAGATAAGAATCCCATGGACGGGGCTGGGAAGGTGGCTCAGTGGTAGAGCGCTTGCCTTGCATGCATGAGGCCCTGGGTTCGATGCCTCAGCACCACATAAGAAAAAAAAAAAGCTGGAAGTGGCACTGTGGCTCAAGTGGTAGAGCGCTAGCCTTTAGCTGAAGAGCTGAGTGACTGCACCCAGGCTCAGAGTTCAGGCCCCACGACCTGCCCCCCCTGGGCAGGACTGTCCTGCCCAGGTTGTCTTTGAACCACAATCCTCAGATCTCAGACTCCTGAGCAGCTAGAATTACAGGAGTGAGCCACTGCTGCCTGGCTTAAAGATCTCAAGAAGATGTTAAGAAGAGAATGGATCATCTCATAGACATGAAGTACTCAGACTAGGGTTTAGGGCTAGAAAGTTTTTCCCAAAGATGTCCCATTTTTTTGGCCTCTTCTTAGTTCTTTTTATATATGAACTATGTTAGAATCAATAAAATTTAGGGCTGGAGGTATAGCATAGCATGCTTGTGGCTAGGTTCAAATCCCAGCACCACAGAAACAAACTAAGACATACATACCTTTTAGTACAGAGACCCCCATTCTTGGGACTTTAACCACCAAAAATCAACAAAAAAGACAATATCTTAACATATAGTACAAGGGCGTATAGGAAGTAGAGGCAAGTGGGCTGCTGGTGGCTCACATCTGTAATTCTAGCTACTCAGGAAACTGAGATCTGACAATCGAGGCTTGAAGTCAGCCCTAGCAGGAAAGTCATAAAACTCTTGTCTCCAATTAACCACTAAAAAACTGGAAGTAGAACTGTAGCTCACAGATTAATCTTGAGCAAAAAACAGCCTAGGGACAGCACCCAGGCTCTGAGTTCAAGCCCTGTGATGACAGAAAGAAAGAGAGAGAGAAAGAGAAAGAAAGAAAGGAAGGCCAAATTTAGAGCCATTACTGTAGATTATACTATACTAGAAGTAAGACACAGGTCCAACAGGTCCAGTCTTTTTTTTTTTTTTTTTTTGTCAATGGGACTTGAACTCATGGTCTGGGTGCTGTCCCTGAGTTCTTTTGCTTAAGGCTAGTGCTTTACCACTTTGAGCCACAGCACCACTTGCAGCTTCTGGTAATTGGAGGTAAGAGTCTCACAGACTTTCCTGCCTGGGCTGGCTTTGAACCGTGATCCTCAGATTTCAGCCTCTTGAGTAGCTAGGACTACAGGCGTCAGCTAGCAGCACCTGGCAGGTCCAGTCTTTTAAGACATGAATTGAGTGAAAAAACAGGACTCTTCTCATACTTCTCATCTATCAAATAATATCAGTAAGTACTGAAAGATTACTAGACCAGGAAAACTGAATAGTTTTGACTCTAGTTAAGTGTAGAATGGCATCAGGACTTCTACTTCCATCACTGACTGGAGATTGTCTATTTTTTTATGCTACTTAAGCAATCAGATGCTTGGCCAGGTGTTGGTGGCTCACACCTATAATCCTAGCTACTCAAGAGGCTGAGAAATGAGGATTGCAGTTTGAAGCCAACCCAGGCAGGAAAATCGAAGAGACTTGTTTTGGGATTTCTTTTTGGTCAGTTGTGGGGCTTAAACTCTGGCCCTGGGCACTGTCCCTCATCTCTTGAGCTCAAGGCGAGAGCTCTACCACTTGAGCCACAATACCACTTCCGGTTTTCTGGTGGTTATTTGGAGATAAGAGTCTCGTGGACTTTCCTGCCCAGGCTGGCTTTGAACTGCAGTCCTCAGATCTCAGCTTCCTGAGTAGATAGGATTACAGGTGTGAGCCACCAGCACCTGGCTCAGGACACCTTTTTTTTTTTTTTTTTGGTCATGGGCCTGAACTCTGGACCTGGGCGCTGTCCCTCAGCTCTTCAACTCAAGGCTAGCGCTCTACCACTTGAGCTACAGTGCCACTTCGGGCTTTTTCTGCTTATGTGGTGCTTAGGAATTGAACCCAGGGCCTCATGCGTGCAAAGCAAGCACTCTACCACTGAGCCACCTTCCCAGACCCTTAGGGGACTCTTATCTCCAATTAATAACGGGAAAAGCTGTAAGTGGCATTGTGGCTCAAGTGGTAGAGTGCTAGCCTTGAATAAAAGGAGCCCAGGGATAGCACCCAAACGCAAAATTCAAGCCCCAGGACTGGCAAAATAGAAAAAAAGAAAATCAAATGCTTATGTGACTCAACTTTGCTGTGTTGCAGGTTCAACTTGTTGGATTAGATGAGGAGAGTTCGGAGTTTATTTGCCGAAACACTTTTGATCATCCATACCCCACCACAAAGCTCATGTGGATCCCTGACACAAAAGGTGTCTATCCAGACCTACTGGCGACAAGTGGTGACTATCTTCGTGTGTGGAGGGTAAGCACGGTGCTTCATTAGCAGCTAGAGAACTGGGCTTTCTCAGGGTCAGCTGCTAGTGTACTTACAGAGAGCAGATGGTTAGCAGCAACCAGTGGCAGCAGGAGAGAAACAAGTGAAGCTATGTGTTCTGATCTTGTTTGGTTCAGCAGATTTTCTAGCCAAGATGTCATGAGCAGGAGATAGCCCTGGAAACCATGACACAAACAGCTCTTGGTGGAGTTTTAGACACTTGAGACCTCTTATTTAAGTTAAAATGTCAGGTCATTGTAAATGGACCTTGGGATCCCCTCTCTCAACTGTAGGCAGGGTTTGGGGTATAGGCCCAGTAGAAAGCTGCTGACTTTCTATGGATAATAAGATGAGAAGACCTCCCCACTACAAAGATGCAGAGAATGGAAACTTAGAAAGCAAAGCTGGAATAAGGACAAAAATTTGAAAGAAATCTCACCTGGGAAGTTGGGCTGGGTTTTATAAGTCTTTGTGATAAGAATGTATGCCAGTGGCTCATACCTATCATAATCAGGAGTCTGAGCTCTGAGGATCAAGCTTTGAGGCCAGCCTAGGTAGGAAAGTCTATGAGACTCTTATCTCCAATTAACTAGTCAAAACCCAGAAATGGATGTGTGATTCAAGTGGTAGAGTGCTAGCCTTGAGCACTCAGGGACAGTACCTAAGCCCTGAGTTCAGGTCCCAAGACTAGCTCACACATGTCTTAGATTACTATGATAGTAATCAGGGGCATTTAAGACTTTTTGTGAGGATAAGACTAAGACTGGCTGAATTTAAAAAAAAATTATTGTTCCTTTAGGTTGGTGAAACAGAAACCAGGCTGGAATGTTTGCTAAATAATAACAAGAACTCAGATTTCTGTGCCCCCCTGACCTCCTTTGACTGGAATGAAGTGGACCCTTATCTTTTAGGTAAGGGGATTAAGGAGTGTATATTCCTGTTTGAAGAAGCAAATAAATGTTTTCATATGATTGGGCCTGTTTTTATCCAGGGATCTACAGTAGACATACCATCCTAGAACAGGCCAAGTAGAAAATAGGCTAAATATGGAATGTGGTTGTTAATTCCACATATAGTGTTTTCATGTGTGCGTATATATCTTATCTCTCCCATTAAAAACTAGGGTCCTGAGGTATGGACCCTAATATTTGATCTTTCTTCCCTGTACTCAGTAAATATTTGTGGCCTGTTGTGCCCTTGGCAAAGAGAAATGTAAGCATAGGAAGGAAGTCTTCATGAGAACCTTGCTCCTATCAGCTGCTGTCTTGCTTTGATTTTTGTAGGTACCTCAAGCATTGACACAACTTGCACCATCTGGGGGCTGGAGACTGGGCAGGTGTTGGGGCGAGTGAATCTTGTATCTGGCCATGTGAAGACCCAGCTCATCGCTCATGATAAGGAGGTAAAGATGCTTTTCCTTTTCTTTCCACAGGTGTTTTCTTTGCCTGTTAAGTGAGAGATTAGGATGTTCTGTTATTGTTTTGCAGGTTGCATAGAATATAAAGTGTGTAAGTTTAAAATAATAATGTGTCAGACAGCAGAAAATAACAGTCAGTGCTTCCCCCCTGGTTTTTGAACTCAGGGCCTCATACTTGATAGACAGGTACTCTACTGCTGAGCCATGCCTCCAGCCCTGCCTTTCTCTATTTATCTTTTGATAATCCCAGAGTTGGAATTCAGTGCCTACTTTTTGTTGCTTCTTTTGATATTCTAACACTTGAGTCATGTCTCCACCCTGGCCTTTTCTGGTTATTTTTGGAGATTGAATCTTGAGGACTTTTCTGCCTGCTGCTTTGGATCCTTAATCCCTGGATCTCAGCCTCCTGAGTAGCTAGTTTCAAGCATGAGCCACTGGCCGGGACACCTGTTGCCTGGGGCTTGAACTCAGGGCCTGGGCACTGTACCTGAACTTTCTCACTCAAGGTTAGTTTTCTACCACTTGAGTTACCACTCCACTTCTGACTTTTTGGTGGTTAATTGGAGATGATTCTCATGGACTTTCCTGCCTGGCTGGCTTTGAACCATAATCCTCATATCTCAATCTCCTGAGTAGCTGTGATTAGGGGCATGATTGAGTCACCAGCATGCAGTTTATAATAAGTGTTCGTGTGTGTGTGTGTGTGTGTGTGTGTGTCCATGTGTCCATCCTGGAGCTTGAACTCAGGGTCTGGGTGCTGTCCTTAAGCTTTTTTTGCTCAAGGCTGGTGCTCTACCACTTGAGCCACAGCTCCATTTCCAGCCTTTTGGTGCTTAATTAGAGATAAGAATGTCAAGGACTTCGCTGCCTAGGTTGGTTTTGAACTATGGTCCTCAGATCTCAGCTTCCTAAGTAGCTAGGATTATAGGCATAGGCCACATGTGCCCTGTTTTCCTCTGTTGGGTTTTTGTTTGTTTGTTTTGTTTTGTTTTGTTTTTGAGAAAGAGTCTCACTTCCTGCCAGGGCGTGTGCTTATTTTAGGCTTGCTTTGGAGCTGGGATGACTGGTGTGCATCACCATGTACAGCTTCCACTGAGATGGATTTTCATGGACTTTTCTGCCCAAGCTAGCCTGGAACTGCAATATTTTTGGTATCCTGACATGTGGCAACTAATGCATTTCTTGACTGAAATAAATTATTTATTCTACAGTCTATCACATTTCTTTTTATGCCAGAAGTTTGATGATTTTTAATAATGAAGTCTTCTATAAACATACCGATAGTATTAAAAAATAGTGGGCTGGGAAGGTGGCTCAGTGGTAGAAGCACTTGCCTTGCATGCATGAGGCCCTGGGTTCGATTCCTCAGCACTAATAAGCAGAAAAAATTCTTTAAAAATGCCGGAAGTGGCACTGTGGCTCAAGTGCTAGCCTTGAGCTGAAGAGCTGAGGGACAGCGCTCGGGCCCAGAGTTCAGGCCCCATGACCGGACCCAAAAAAAAAAAAAAAATAGTGATTTCAAGCCAGGTCCTGGCAGCTCATACCTGTAATCCTAACTACTCAGGGATGAAATGTGAAGAGCATGGTTTGAAGCTAGCCTGGACATAAAAATCCATGAGAACTCTATCTCCAATTAACCAGCAAGCTAAGTAGAGGTGTGGAGGAACACCAGCCTTGAGCAGAAAAGCTGACCAAGCTAGGAACTGGTAGTATATGCCTATAATCCTACCTACTCAGGAAGTTGAGATCTAATGATCACAGTTTAAAGCCAGCCAGGGAAGGAAAGTCTGTGAGATTTTTCTCCAGCTAATCACCAAAAGGCCAGAAGTAGACTGTGGCTCAAGTGGTAGAATACTAGCTTTGAGCAAAGCTCAGAGACAGTGCCCAGACCCCTTGAGTTCAAGCCTCAGTACTAAAAAGGGTGTGTGCGAGTACGCGAATACACGTGTCTTGATTTGGAAGGGAAGAATATTGAGGTGAGATTGATTGGAATACAGTATAAACGTGTGAAGATGTAGCAATGAAATTATCTCCTATATAACGACAGTAAGCTTAATAAAAAATACATAGTAATCTTAGAAGCCAGGTACCAGTGGCTCACACCTGTAATCCTAGCCACTCAGGAGGCTAAGCTCTGGAGGATTAAAGTCCTAGAGTAGCCCAGGCAGAAAAGTCTTAAGAGATTCCATCTTCAAGCCGGGCGCTGGTGGCTCACACCTGTAATCCTAGCTACTCAGGAGGCTGAGATCTGAGGATCGCGGTTCAAAGCCAGCCCAGGCAGGAAAGACCGTGAGACTCCTATCTCCAATAAACCACCAGAAAACCGGAAGTGGCGCTATAGCTCAAGTGGTAGAGCACTCGCCTTGAGCTGAAGAGCTGAGGGACAGCGCCCAGGCCCAGAGTTCAGGCCCCACGCCGACAAAAAAAAAAAGAGATTCCATCTTCAAAACATCTAGCCACGCGCTGGTGGCTCATGCCTGTAATCCTAGCTCCTGGGGAGGCTGAGATCTGAGGATGGATCATGGTTCAAAGCCAGCTCTGGCAGGAAAATCCGCAAGACTTTTTTTTTTTGGGTCCGGTTGTGGGGCCTGAACTCTGGGCCTGGGCGCCGTCCCTCAGCTCTTCAGCTCAAGGCTAGCACTCTACCACTTGAGCCACAGCGCCACTTCCGGCTTTTTTCCTTTTTGCTTATTTGGTGCTGAGGAATCGAACCCAGGGCCTCAGGCATGCAAGGCAAGCGCTCTACCACTGAGCCACCTTCCCAGCACCCTCAAGACTCTTATCCCTAATTATTCACCAGAAAACCAGAAGTGGCGCTGTGGCTCAAGTGGTAGAGCACTTGCCTTGAGCTGAAGAGCTGAGGGTCAGTGCCCAGGCCCTGAGTTCAAGCCGCACTACTGACCAAAAAACAAAACAAAACTAGCAAACTCACAGGACAATATGTTGGAAATGAGTTGTACAACTTGGCAGGGGTGGGGGGGTGGGGGAATTGAGGGTGGAGAGGAAAGGAGAAAAATGAGGGAGGAGATAAGTTTGACAAGAAATGAAGAAATGGACTGGGAAGGTGGCTCAGTGGTAGAGCGCTTGCCTTGCATGCATGAGGCCCTGGGTTCGATTCCCCAGCACCACATAAGCAAAAAGAAAAAAAGCCGGAAGTGGCGCTGTGGCTCAAGCGGTAGAGCACTAGCCTTGAGCTGAAAAGCTTAGGGACAGCGCCCAGGCCCAGAGTTCAGGTCCACGACCGGACCCAAAAAAAAAAAAGAAATGAGGAAATGTACTTATGTACCTTATGTACATCACCTTAACAACAAAAAAAAAAACTAGTAAAAAGCAGAGCTGAAGAATAGATCAAGTGGTAGATAGAGCTGTAACTAAGCATGAAAGTTGAATGAGAGCATAAATTGCTTCATGGTCAACAAGACAAAAAAGAGGGGCTGGGAAGGTGGCTCAGTGGTAGAGTGCTTGCCTTGGATGCATAAGGCCCTGGATTCCATTCCTTAGTACCACATAAGCACAAAAGAGCCAGAAGTGGTGCTGTGGCTCAAGTGGTAGAGTGTTACCCTTGAGCTGAAGAGCTGAGAGACAGTGTCCAGGTCCAGAGTTCAGGCCCATGACTGACAAAAAAAAAAAAAGAAAAATGAATTTAGAAAGTTGAATATAAATAGATGCTCATTTGGCAGTGTCCTTCAGGAGCTCTATCATCTAGTGATAAACTCTTGTCTCCCCAAGTCAGCTGTCATTATTATCCTTGACTATACAAGGGAGGTTTTGTTTGGCTTTTTTCCCCCACATTTGTCTGTGTCTCACTCAACATATCTGGCTTTGTCTGTTTCCCCTAGTCCCTGTTTTTACCTGAAGTTTTTACCTGATTCACTTACAAACAGAGTGTACTCTAGGACAAGAGAGGGCTCTAAATGAACCTGTTTGTGAATACGGATAAACACCTTAACCTCTTGTAATTCAAAATTGAATCATATTCCCTTTTTCTTATAAATGTCTAAGGTCCAGGTTTTATAGCAGAACCAGCTTGGCTATTATTAATGGCCATACAGGAGCTGATTTCATTCCTTAATTGGTGATCTCAAGCATAATGTAGTCATAGACCTGCCTGATTACATAAAGTGAAAACCATCAAAGGGCAGAAAATAAGTGTCTCAGTCTTGGAGTTGGAATACAACAACAGGCAGTTACTGGCTCTGGCAGCCTCTGAAGCTATGTATGTGTGTGGAATCCTTGTTCAGACTTTACTGTCTGGTCAACAGAGCATATGCCTTTTGTTCTGTTACAGAAGTTGGAGGAAGAAGACTTATTAGGAAAACATGGCAAGAAGCCAGGTGTCTGTAATAATTATCTTCACTTTTTTTTTGGGGGGGGGGGGGGGGCTTGAACTTTGGGCCTAGCTGCTGAGCTCTTTGGCTCAAGGCTAGCACTCTACTACTTGAGCCACAGCACCACTTCTGGTTTTCTGGTGGTTTTTTGGAGATAAGAGTCTCATGGACTTTCCTGCCCGTGCTGGCTTTGAACCATGGTCCTCAGATCTGAGCCTCCTGAGTAGCTAGGATTACAGGTGTGAGCCACCGGTGCCTGGCTTGATCTTCACTTTTTGGGAAGCCATTGGTGTTAAAGTTCTGGAATTCCAGTATTTAGTTACCATTTGGGCTTTTCTTACCTGCTTCAGTGTCATGAGCTGGGTTCAAATGAACTGGAAATGGCTATAGGGAAAGGAGTTGCCAGATCTGAATCTCACTGAAGCATTTTATTCACTTACAGGTCTATGATATTGCATTTAGCCGAGCAGGAGGTGGCAGGGACATGTTTGCCTCTGTGGGTGCTGATGGCTCAGTGCGGATGTTTGACCTCCGACACCTGGAACACAGCACTATCATTTATGAAGACCCACAGCATCATCCACTGCTTCGACTCTGCTGGAACAAGCAGGATCCTAACTACCTGGCCACTATGGCCATGGATGGAATGGAGGTGAGCAGCCCACTCAGGCTTACATAGACTCTGCCATCTAACTTCACACTCCATAGAAGAATGGGCTCTCTGTTGGTAACAGTTCTGTACCTAGAGGATGTTTGGAAGTATCTGGAGACATTTCTGCTGTCACAATTCAGGGGGAGGCAGTTGGTGCCCCTGGTACCTTGTGGGTAGAGAGAGACCAGGGAAGGTGCTATTAATGCTACAGTGTATAGGATGGCTTGCTTCCAGTGAAGTATTATCCTAACTAAAATGTCAGCAGTGCCAAGATTGTAAGGCTGTGTGTTAAGCACTCCAACAGGGCTGGGAATGTGGCTTAGTGGTAGAGTGCTTGCCTAGCATGCATGAAGCCCTGGGTTCAGTTCCTCAGTACCACATACACAGAAAAATCCAGAAGTGGCACTGTGGCTCAAGTGGTAGATTGCTGCCTTGAGCAAAAGAAGCTCAGGGATAGTGCCTTGGCTCTTGAGTTAAAGCACCAGGACTGAGGAGAAAAAAAAAAAAAAGAACTCCAACACAAGTAGAGTGTTAGCCAGTGAGCAAAAGCATCAGGTAATTGAGTTCAAGTCCCCATCTTGGACCTTAAAAAAAAGAACTTTGAGGGTAAACAAAGGAGGAGGCTGCAATGCTTGGTAAGAAATGTATGCATTTTCCTGCCCATGTAATTGTAACCCCTCTGTACAGTATGTTTTCAAATAAAATAAAATAAAAAAAAAAAAAAAAAAAAGAACTTTGGAGTTGAAGCCAAGATAAGTAGTATCTAAAGAATAGACTAAATGGACACAGTGACTCATACCTGTAAATCCAGGTACTTGAGAAGTGGAGAATTAGGAGGCTTGTGGATCAAGGCCAGTCTGGGCAAAAAGTTAGTGGGACCCCATCTTAACCAATAAGCCACACACTCTTATCCCATCCATATAGGAGGCCTAAATAGGAGGACTTTTGTCCAGGATAGTCCAAACAAAAAAGGGAAACCCTATTTGAAAAACAAAGCAAAAAAAAAAATGGCTGGAGTATGGCTCGTGTCCAGTCCTTACCTAATAAGTACAAAGCCTTAAGTTCAAATATTAGTACCACTTAAAAAAAAAAAGATAGGGGCTGGGAAGGTGGCTCAGTGGTAGAGTGCTTGCCTTGCATGCATGAGGCCCTGGGTTTGATTCTTCAGTACCACATAAGCAGAAAATAAAAAGCTGGAAGTGGCACTGTGGCTCAAGTGGTAGAGTGCTAGCCTTGAGCTGAAGAGCTGAGGGACAGCGCCCAGCCCCAGAGTTCAGGCCCCACGACTGGACCAAAAAAAAAAAAAAAAAAAAAGATAAACTAGTGGCAGGGGCTAGGATATAGTTCAGCCCATGGAATTGATCTGCAATGTAGGAGGGATGGAGGGAAGGAGGGAAGGTAAAAAAGTAAACCAAATAATTCATGCTTATGGGCTGAGTAAAAAAACAGTTCTTTCCAATTATGTTTTCTGTATAGATTTATCCCCCTTTAGCAAATAGATGTAGAAATAACAGTCTCTCTAGAGTTTTAATTAATAAAGGGGGAATTGTGGGTAGAGAAGGTACATTGATTAAGCTTGCTTTGGTGAAATTAGCAACTCAGATATTATAAATTCCTCAGCTATTCCAAATTCTGCTTTGGTAAGGCTCTCATTCTGCTTAGCTAAGACACAGAGAATCTTAAAGAATTTTCTTTTCTTTTTTCTTTTTTTTTTTTGTCAGTTGTGGGGCTTGAACTCAAGGCCTGGGCACTGTCCTTGAGCTTTTTCACTCAAGGCTAGCACTCTATTTTCTGGAGGTTAATTGTAGATAAGAGTCTTACGGAAGCCAGAAGCCAGGTGCTGGTGGCTCATCCTGTAATCCTAGCTACTCAGGAGGCTGAGATCTGAGGATTTCGGTTCAAGGCCAGCTCAGGCAGGAAAGTCTGTGAGACTAATCTCCAATAAACCATTTGAAAACCGGAAGTGGCACTGTGGCTCAAGCGGTAGAGTGCTGGCCTTGAGCTGAAGAACCCAGGGACAGAGCGCAGGTCCAGAGTTCAAGCCCCACGACCAACAAAAAAAAAAAGAGTCTTATGGACTTTCCTGCCCCAGCCGACTCCCAGCTGAGATCCTCATATCTCAGCCTCCTGAGTAGGATTCTAGACATGGGCCCTGGACACCCAACAGAAATTATTACCTAAAAGCTGCTGCTTAAGACAGAGACAATAAACTGCTGTGGATTTTTTTTAATCCATAAGTGAAAAAGTTAGGCTATAAAAGTATTTTTGTGTGTAATATTTTTTGTTTATTAATTCTATCATACCCTGAAATGCCTGAGTCTTTCACTTGTATTTCTTCAGGTGGTGATTCTGGATGTCAGAGTTCCCTGCACACCTGTCGCCAGGTTAAACAACCACCGGGCTTGTGTCAATGGCATTGCATGGGCTCCACATTCATCCTGCCACATCTGTACTGCAGGTAACCATTGTGAAGAGTGAGTAATGGCGTAATGATGAAATGCTGTCCTGGCTCCTCAGATATGTGATCTTTACTACTTTAAAGAACAATTTCACACCAAGTTACTCAATCAAGAGCCTCTCCACACTTGTGACCTTAAAGCAGTCCACATTTCCAGATGATCTTTTACCCTCAGTTTATATCAGAGCATTCTTTCTGTACTAATGACAATTTGTATTAGACACAGGCCTGTGCCTCATACTATCTTCCCAGGCATCTAGGTTTACAGAAGGAACCCAGATCTGGGAAGAGGCATCCCTCTTGGGAGATGACAGAAATCTTTAGGATTGCCAAGACTGACATTTTCCAGGGTCTTTCAGGCTTCACTATAACAAATCTGCAGGGAGCTCTGTTTATGGAAGGACACGTAGCCTTATAGGTCAGTAGTGTATGACTTGTAGTTCTCATTTCATCATTTTTCAGACCAAAAAGACTATCCTTTAACATGTTGGTCATCATAGTGCTTTAATCTAGAAATAGTATATAAAAAGAAAGTAATACAGAGGTATGATAAAGAGTAGTAAGGGAAGCTATGTTTTCTCCTTGCTGTATCATTTTCACCTCTACCCCCACCTCCTAGGCAACCTTTATTTATTGTGTGCCAGTCCTGGAGCTTGAACATGGGGCTTGGGTGCTGTCCTTAAGCTTTTTTACTCAAAGCTAGTGCTCTACCACTTGACCCACAGCTCTATATTCAGCTTTTGGTTAATTGAAGATAAAGAGTCCCATGGATTTTCCTGCCCTGGCTGGCTTTATCTAGGATCCTCAGATCTTAGCTACCTGACCAGCTAGGATTACAGGCACCAGCACCTGGCCATAGGTGACCTTACTATTCACTGGCTGCATAGCTATATGGCTTGGAGCAAGTACTACAACATTTCTGATCTCTGTTTCCTCATCTGTGAAATGAAGCCTTAGCTGGATGTGGTATTAGATGCCTATAATACTGGCTCTTTGCAGGTTGAGGAAAGAGTATTGTGTTGAGACCAACCTGGCCCTCATAACAAGACCTTGTCTTTAAAAAACTTACTAAAAAATCTCCCTCGTGGCTGGGAAGGTGGCTTAGTGGTAGACTGCTTGCCTAGCATGCATGAGGCCTTGTGTTTGATTCCTCAGTACCACATAAACATAAAAATCTCCCTCATGGAGTTTTGGTGAGCAAATGCTTTGCAAACTGTGACTCATTCTCCAAATTTAGGTGCTGCTATCCCTATTGAGTTATAACCTTCCTTCCTTGGCTTTCTTTGTCCCTAGCGGATGACCATCAGGCTCTTATCTGGGACATCCAGCAAATGCCCCGGGCCATTGAGGACCCTATCCTGGCCTACACAGCTGAAGGAGAGATAAACAACGTGCAGTGGGCATCGACTCAGCCCGACTGGATCGCCATCTGCTACAACAACTGCTTGGAGATACTCCGAGTGTAGTGTTGGTGGTATCTAACCCACCAGGCAGGGGCGTGTGTGCTTTCCACCTCTGCCTTCCCCCCTCTCCCCCAAGTAAGAAGAACATGTTTCCAGTGGCCAGTATGTCTGTCATTGCTTTGCACCCACTGTTTCCAGAAGCTGCTTTAGGAGTTCCTGGCCAGTTAGCACTCGATGTCTATGCTGGATTCAGTGCTATGTGGCACCTCTCAGCCCAGGACTGAGTTTTTAAGATTTTTCTCTCCTTTCCTTTTCTCCCTTGCTTCTGTAATTAAACATTTCTATATATTTGTTTGTCAGCCGTTGTGTTCATGAGCAGTACAAGCACTGCCTCTGTTTCTAGCCATCTGCCCCAATGTCTCTTTATCTCTCTGCTGCCCAAGGCAGCCATTCATGTATTGTCCCTGTCCACGTCCGTGTTAGCACTTAAGTGGGAACAAATAATAATTTGAAGTTGTCTTTCCTCTGGTATCAGTGTCTTTAACAAATCTCAACATTTGTCTGTTTTTTATCAGGCTATTTTTTTTTAAATGAAAAGAATTTTTTCTGGTTTCTTTTCTTTGTTTTCTAGTCCTCCTTCTTTGCACCTTCTTCTCTTCCCTTAGTGCCTAGAGCAGATATGGGCCCTTGACCCCAAGAGCAGTTTACTTTCCCAAGTCACTACCTGAGTGACACATACCTGACTGGGAGTCCTGAACTTCCCTGGTGCTCTGCAGTCCATTGAGCCACCAACCTGGTTCTTCTCAAGGTCATTCTGGGCTCTAGGACACTCACAGGAAGCCTTCTGTTACATCCTGGAGTTCTGTCCAGCCACACTGATACCTGTCAGGCATGTGGTAGAGCTAGAACAGGCTGCTGACTTGGGCTCGGGCTGGAGGAGAATCATTTCAGAAAAGCAGAACTTACAGCATGTTTCTAGTACCTTGTATCAGAGTGTTTTTATCTTCTCATTATAAGCTACAGGCTACTCTATTTCAGGATTTGAATGATAGGCAAGAACGATCTCTTAGCTGAGCGGAGCTTCTATACTTCTGTTAACTGAGTTTCCTGTGCCTGATGGGATTGAGTGTTGAGTGAAGAAGTCAGAGGTACAGCCTGTGCTTATGGCTATGAATAAGAGAGAAGCAGTTCTTGTAAGGGCTGAACTAATTCGCAGAGATGATCTCAGACCACTTAAATATCTACAAAAGAATCATAGGCCTTGGGATCAGCCAGCCAAGCCTCTACCCATACCTGTGAAACTTGCCCCCACCCTAGTTTATTTTTTGGGTTTCTGAGCAGTATTGGACTTGAAAGCTGCAGTTGACGGTGTTTACTTACAGGCTGCTGGTATCTGTTTCCGTTAGATGAATGGGTTCCACAGAGGGGCTTATGTGTGATTCTGAGTTTATGCATTCCTGGGGCTGACAGAGTTTGGAACATGTTCTGGGGAGAGTTTGTCTGGCTCATCATGTTTTGCCAAGTGCCTAAAAGCTTTTCAGACCCTTCAAGTTGCTCATCCGAAATGATGAGAGCAGCGGGCCCTGAAGGCTGATGGGTTTTGTCCACTTAGGCTCTCACCTCCTCAAGAAATAAGGCTCACTTCCTTCTACGCCCTTAAACTTTCTGCTTGAATCTTCCCTTTCTGTAGTGATGTAGTTCTATGCCAAAAATTATAGCTTACACAAGCACTTGTCTCAAAGGAAAGGCTTTTTTAGTCAGATATTTCCTCTTTGACCTTCTAGATCGTTCTGATTTGGACTCTGGCTGGCTGTCTTCCTTGAGGTTGACTTAACTGCATTTCCCACCCAGTTTCCAGTACATCATCTGGAAACACTGTGCAGTTCTTGGTTTCACCTGTCCTCTACTTTTAACTATGCTAGTGAATATTCTCTTGTCAAGAATAGCAAGTATGACTGGTATTTGCTGCCTTGGAGGTCCTCAGTTCCTCCTGGGAAGAGGGTCTGCAGTACAAGTCAGAAGACTAGCAGGGTTAATCCTGCTGGTGAGATCCTGCCATCACTGAGTTCCTAGTGGACTTTAACATGGTCTCAGTGGCAAGGAGATTAGTCAGCTAGAACTCAAATAACAATTTTTCAATCAATGATTATAGAATAGATATAGATGAGGTAATTACTTACTTTGGAAACCAACCCCTTTGTCACTCTTTGCCTTGTCTTGTGGGCTCGTAGACATCCTTCCTTAGGCCCTGCAATATACTCCTCCTCCTCTGTACCCCACTGGACTCAAGCAAGATTCTCCTGCTCCCTAGGCACATATTTCTGCAGTTGCTGGCACGCTGGCATTTTAAGCTTTCTCCTTCCCCCTTTATAGCACAGGCAGTGCACTGTGACTGAGGAGGGGATTTCTATAGTTTCAGGATAAAGCTGTGCTCCAGGAAGCACAAGTCCAGTCACTTCAAAGACAAGTCTGTTTAAGGTTGATCCATTTCTCTTGACAGCTAGTGAGACTATCCAGGGTCTCCTGGTCTTCTGCTCCCTTCCTGTTGCTGCCCACTTTACCACAAGGGCCACATGAAAGAACCTGTGGCTCTAGGACAGCTTTGCTGGTGCTTTGACTTGCTGTCAGTATGCTGAGCTACAGACCTATTGCCTGTGCTGTCTTTGGTCTCTACCAGCAGAAGGTTAAGCAGGTGATTGAATTTGAGGCATTGACAAACTTGAGGACCCCACTCATGGTGTTGGAGCCCTCTCTTTCCAGGGAGGAACTAGCCCACAAGGTTAGGAATTAAAGATAGACAAGATCTGATAAGTGGGTGAGAACTCTAATAAGCCAGATCAACTACTGGAGAACTGACTTCGATTTAGGAAGAGAAAAAAATTCAGAATCCCACCATGTTTTACTTATGGCTAAATATATAGGAGGAGATTTAAAGTTGTGTGAGAGTCATTGTTGTTTCCTTGGATCAAAAGAGGGGATGCATTGAGGGTCTTAGGGAAGAAAACATTGGGACTGTTACATGGCTGTGGAGTAACACTGTGTCCTCAGCATGTGTCCACCTTCCTGGACCACTAATCAGGCATCTGTGGTTGGCACTGAATAATGGATACGATGAGAGCCCAGCAGAAGGAGCTCTTTGCCCCAGCAAGGCAGCCATACGTGATAATGTAATAAAATTCTGTTGTGTTGGTTGTCCTGTGACTTCCCAACCACAGTTCTTCTTGATTGAAGGTGTGTTTAATGGTGGCAGACAATCATGCAGACCTTGTCCCCCTCCTTTGTCTCTTTCCTTTACCTTTTTTTCTGTAGAACTTTCTCCCTCTATAGCCTAGGCCCCAAATTTCTAGGTTATAAGGACTTGTGGAAGCCCCCAACATGTACCAACCATGTGAGGGCAGTCCAGAACCACTCCTCCACTGTCTTCATTTTGAGCATATAGAAGCTCCTTTGACTGCTGGCTTGGGGCAGGGAACTGTTGAAGTAGACACCTCTAAGCACACTTTACCCTTTACTGTATGCACTCCAGGACAAGGAACAAGGGTCATCCTTGGTACTTAGATTGGGTTTTCTGGGAAGAGAGCTGAACTAAGAAAAGTCACTATGAGCTTTAGGCCAGGTTTTCTGCAGGTCATCTCTGCCCTGGCTGGGCAGCTGCTGAGAATGTCTTGTGTTGCAGAGCCTTGTTCATCTCCCCTCCTGCTCCCTCTCCTCCTCCCACATTGTTATTGCTGCTAATGGTCAAAGTCAAATGTATGGTCATAGGGGATGGGCCAGGGCCCAGTTACTTTCTGGATGTCATTTTTTAAATATGGAAACATGAAGGTGCCTTCCCAAAGAGGCTTAAACTTGAATGTCAAACCAGAAACAAAAAGCTAAAGAAAGTTTGAATCCAGAAGAAAGATGTTGACAGTATGTGTGACAGCTGGAAAATGGCTGGGTGCCTACCTTTGGGACAACCCAGGGAAGATGAACTTGTGATAGCTACTATTTAAAAGCATGGTCTTACCTTGGGTTGTTGTGGCATACAATGTGTTATAAAAATCGTTGAGCTAAAGCTTTGAATCACTTTAGTCGAGTATGAATCACTTGTGTTGATTCCTGTGTATTTTATGATCCCTCTGTTGTGACTTTCCCTCACCACCCTTTCTTGAGTGAGAATTTGTAGCATGACTGTATAAACTTCTCTGTAGGAAATGGAGATTTCTCATTCTCTAAAATGTTAAGCTCTAACCAATCCATTTCTGTACCCTTTAGCCTAGTATGTCTGAACTTATTTTCTTGTTATATATTTAAACTTTGACTCTATCCTATAGGTTTTGTGGCACCCTCTGGTCAGGTGGAGAGGAAACTGCCCCTTACAGAACTGTACTGTAACCATTTTTCTTTTATAAATACCATTTTCACAAGATTGATTGTACACAGGGCTTGTAATAAAACTTTTAACACTGTGCTGTGAAACCATGCTGAGGACTCTCCACTGAAAGCTATTTCAAGGGCACTGAAAGTGGAGCGTTCTTTCTGTGACTTTGCTTCTTCTTTCCTTAGTATATTAAATCTAATGATCACCCTTTTATTCTGTTTCAGCCTCCTGTATAAGAAGTACCGTATTTTCTGCCCATTATACTTTGTAATAAAACTTGAACATGTATAGATTGAATTTCCTCTTGTGATGAATTCATTTCTTTCCAGTTTGCCTCTGTGATCATGTTTCAGAGACAGGCAAGGGGTTTAGACTGTGCCACAGCCCATGCTACAGCCCAACTCATCACTTCTGTTTGATCACACTCATTTTTCAGTCAGCACAAACATGAAGTACCTACTATGTAGTTACTTGCACTGTAGGAGACACCCACATAAATGCTTGGGAGTGTTCTGCATTAACAGAACTGTGTTCAAGAATACCGCGGAGGGCTGGGAAGGTGGCTCAGTGGTAGAGTGCTCGCCTTGCATGCTTGAGGCCCCGGGTTTGATTCCTCAGCACCACATAAGCAGGAAAAAAAAAAAAAAGCTGGAAGTGGCACTGTGGCTCAAGTGGTAGAGTGCTAGCCTTGAGCTGAAGAGCTGAGGGACAGCACCCAGGCCCAGAGTTCAGGCCCCACGACCGGACCCAAAAAAGAAAAAAAAAAAAAAAGGGCTAGGAAGGTGGCTCAGTGGTAGAGTGCTTGCCTTGCATGCCTGAGGCCCTGGGTTCGATTCCCCAGCACCACATAAGCAAAAAGAAAAAAGCCGGAAGTGGCGCTATGGGTCAAGTGGTAGAGCGCTAGCCTTGAGCTGAAGAGCTGAGGGACAGCGCCCAGGCCCAGAGTTCAGGCCCCACGACCGGACCCAAAAAAAAGAATACCGTGGAGATGGGATTCAAGGAAGGTCATGAAAATTACAGATAGATGTCTACTGGGTTTTGAAAGCTGAGTAGAAGTCTAGGAATATAGAATGCCATTTAAGTCAGAGAAAGCATTCATATGCAAATCTGTAGACAAAAAAAGAGCATGGTCCTATATAGAGAATTAACAAATTGATGGTTATGTATGAAGAATGGTGGGAAATGTGGCTAGAGCAGCAAGCAGGAGCCAGGTTGGGGACAGTCTTTTTTTTTTTGGTCGGTCGTGGGGCATGAACTCTGGGCCTGGGTGCTATCCCTCAGCTCTTCCTCTTCAGCTCAAGGCTAGTGCTCTACCACTTGAGCCACAGCACCCACTTCCAGCTTTTTCTGTTTATGTGGTGCTGAGGAATTGAACCCAGGGCCTCATGCATGCAAGGCGAGCACTCTACCACTGAGCCACCTTCCCAGCCCTGGGACAGTCTTGTACTTTGTAAAATGTTTATCTTTTTTAAAAAATTATTTTTATTTTTTGCCAGTTGTGGGACTTGAACTCTGGGCCTGGGTACTGTCCTTCAGCTCTTCAGCTCAAGGTGAGCACTCTACCACTTGAGCCACAGTGCCACTTTGGGTTTTTCTAGGGGTTTATTGGAGATAAGAGTCTCATGGACTTTCTTGCCCAGGCTGGCTTTGAACTGTGATCCTTAAATCTCAGCCTCCTGAGTAGCTAGGATTACAAGCATCCACTGGTGCCCGGCTAAAAGTTTGTCTTATTATTTACATGTATTTTTGTGATCACCCAACCCTCCACCTTGTAGCTACCTCATCTAGAAAACATTGCCTCCAGATAGATCACTTTGTTTTTCAGGATAGGCCCAGAAATGGCTTACTTTTGCTGATAACTGTCAAACATCACATAGTTCCAACATACGTTCAATGAAAGTCAAAAAATGTAGTCTTCCTATATACCCTGGAAGAGGGAGTAAAGTGATTAATTTTCCAATTTCTAGAATTTACATTCCAGCAATCTATAATAATATCCAATATTTTATTGGTTGAGATTAATTAGTACTGGACAGCACATTTTGAGTCTAATAGAATGGTACCTTTTACCTGTCATTTGCCTCCAAGCACACTGTTAAGTGATTTTGATGATTCAGGCAACTAGATTTTTGTTTGTTTTTGGGTCCGGTTGTGGGGCCAGAATTCTGGGCCTGGGAGCTGTCCCTCAGCTCTTCAGCTCAAGGCTAGCGCTCTACCACTTGAACCACAGTGCCACTTCCGGCTTTTTTCTTTTTGCTTATGTGGTACTGAGGAACCGAACCCAGGGCCTCTGGCATGCAAGGCAAATGCTCTACCACTGAGCCACCTTCCCAGCCCAGGCAACTAGATTTCTAGAGATGGTTCAGCTACCTGTAAATTTATCTTGAGACAGTAATTGTGTGTGCACACACGCGTGCGCGCACGTCTTGGGGTTTGAACTCAGGGTCTGGACACTGTCCCTGACTTCTTTTGCTCAAGGCTAGAACTCTACCATTTGAGCCACAGCACCATTTCTGGCTTTTTCTGCTTCTGTGGTTCATAGGAATCGAACCCAGGGCTTCATGCATGCTAGGCCAGCACTCTACCACTAAGCCACATTCCCAGCCTGAGACAGTAAATACTGACTCAGATTGAGGAAGTAAAATTCTGTCCTACCATTCTTCATAAACACATAGATAAGCTGAAGTGGCTTAGTAACAGAACCACTGCCTTGCATGTGCAAGGAGGAGAGGGAAGTAAGGAGAAAAAGGAAGAGGGAAGAAGAGAGTAAAGAGTCAGCTATTAAGTAAACAGAAATGTTTTCTCCATAGCATACACTACCTTTTCTTTTTCCAGCTACTGTATTTTTTACTTAGTGAGAAACTATTCTCTAGCTTCATATACTGTCACAATTCGTTGTTTGAAATTTCATCCATGATAATGAAGACTTAGAGCCTTGCTTGGAGGAGCTGTCACTAACATGAGTCCTGTGTTAGCCACCAGGTACAGCATTTCCGAACAAATGGGCTCCTGAACACATTTCATATTTACCTTAATCTGTACTTCCCAAGGATCTTCTGGGTCTTCTTTGTGGTACCGGGCTGATGTTGATGCTTTCCATATAGCTCTATGTTCTTTTGAGCCTGTTTCATTTAAATTTCATTGAATCTCCATCCTTTCCCATCATTCTACAAGAGCCATCTTTCCATTTGTTTGATGAGACACCCCATTATTCCCCTGGGGCATGGTCTCTGTGACATTAACTCAACAAGTCTGACTTTACTGGTTACAGGTTTGTGCCTGGAAAGATGGGTGATTGGACTAGGGCAACTTGTGATAATAAGTTCCATTCATTTGCTTTTTGCTTGAAATGTAACATCTAGGGGCTGGGAAGGTGGCTCAGTGGTAGAGTGCTTGCCTTGCATGCATGAAGCCCTGAGTTCAATTCCTCAGCATCACATAAGCAGAAAAAGCCAGAAGGGGTGTTGTGGCTCAAGTGGTAGAGCTCTAGCCTTGAGCTGAAGAGCTAAGGGACAGCACCCAGGCCCAGAGTTCAGGCAGGCCCCACTACCAAAGTAACATCTAACAATGAACTTTTTAAATTACAAAAAATACTACTAGGCCAGGTACTGATAGTTTACATCTGTAATCCTAGCTGCTCAGAAGTCTGAGATCTGAGGATCCTGGTTTGAAAGCCAGACTGGGCAGGAAAGTCCATGAGATTCTCATTTCCAACTAATCACCAAAAAAGCCAGATAGTGCACTAGCCTTGAGCAAAAAAGCTCAGAGACAGCACCCAGGCCCTGAGTTCAAGTCCCACAACTGGCCAGAAAAAAGTTATTACATTAAAGTCCAAAGGCTGTGTTTTCAACCTTTGTTAGTTACAGCAGGTAGGTAGTAGCGTCCTTGTTTTTAGATAGAAAAAGACTTGATCAGAGAAACTAAGTGAGCAAAACAAGACAAAAAACACATATATACTGACTTCCAGGTAGGAAGAACAAAGGAAAGTTTTATTGCCAGTATGGGGAAGAACAAAGAAAAGGTGTTAGCAAAATGATCTCCCTTCCTCATAGCTTAGCACACTCCATCCCTTCTCATATCTTGGCATCCTCTCTTTCTAGGCAACACTAGGCCCACTTAGTAAAGACAGTGAATACTCAGCCTCTTACCTCCCTCCTCCCCCACAAACACTTTACCTTGGGATGGCACTTTTCTGGGGCAGCTACCATCATATAAGGTAACAAGAGCCCCTTAGAGTGACCTTCAGGTCTGGGCAGCTGCAGGACCCTTTATCTACTATTTGGCCTTCTTTTTTTTTTTTTTTTTTGGTCCGGTTGTGGGGCCTGAACTCTGGGCCTGAGCACTGTGTCCCTCAGCTCTTCAGCTCAAGGCTAGCGCCCTACCACTTGAGCCACAGCACCACTTCCAGCTTTTTTCTTTTTGCTTATGTGGTACTGAGGAATCGAACCCAGGGCCTCAGGCATGCAAGGCAAGCACTCTACCACTGAGCCAACTTCCCAGCCCCTTTATCTACTATTTGGATAACAGCCATAAATCCTAGTCCGCCATGATGAAACCCCTGGCCCATATGTCCACACCGGGGTCTCCGCCTCCTAGCCACTTCTACCTCCTCCTAAGCCTCCTAGGTTATTTAGGTCACCTCAGACAATAGCCGGCGCTTCTCACTTCTCACTTGTGAGAAGGAGTCTTGTAGGCCCCCTTTCCTGGCAATAAACCTTTCTTTGTTCTCTGTACCTGGATGTCTGCGTGGTTCTATGGCAAAGTCTAATAAGTTTTCAAAAGGCTTATTGCCAGTAAAGGGACCGGCAAGACCCCTTTTCACCAGGTAAGAGGAAGTGAGAAGTGCTGGCTATTGTCTCAGGTGACCTTTTATAACCTGCGGGATTTGGGGGATCTCACAGCCTTCTTATATGGGCCTAGTGTTGCCTAGGGAAAGCGCATGTTAAACCGTGGAGGAGGCATCAGGGCCAACATCCTGAACTTGCTATGAGCGAGGAAGGAATTGGGAAGCAAAACTAGTTTCACAATTCACATGAACCACTACTAGATCGTTTTGGGAACAAAATCCAGTCTCAAAACAACCCTAAGGGTATTTCCCAAAGGCAAGGCAGGACGGAGAACCTTGCGGCTGCGGAACGGACTTTGCGAGCGGAGGGACAGGCTTGAGGGACGGACCTGGGAAAGGAAGTGTGCTACACCATCATGGGTCCCCGCACCCGGCTGCGGCGAGGGCAGCGCAGGGTCATTTATGGCCAGGGTACTCCCCGCCGTGGGCTGGAGCCTTTGGATTTCTTAAAACAAGTGGTTCCGCTTCAGATCCAGCTTGCTCTGGCAGCAGACAAGATAAGCTGACCTTGGGCACCCCTGGTTGGTTGGTTGGTTGGTTTTTGCAGCTTGCAGCCTAGGGTCGGGCCGATGGCATCTTGGGCTGCCGCCAGCCTGAGCAGAGCAGCCGCCCGACTCTTCTGGGTGCCAGGTCCGGGGGTCCGCGCGGTTCCCCCGGGCACTTCCCCGCCTGAGCCCCGATGCTTCCGCCCAGCCCCAAGCAGGACGCTGCACGTCTCCATGGCTGTCCTCGCCGGCCACAATAAATGGTCCAAAGTCCGGCACATCAAGGGTCCCAAGGACATGGAAAGGAGCCGAATCTTCTCTAAACTCTGTCTCAGTATCCGCCTGGCTGTTAAAGGTGAGAACCTGATGGTCATTTGATGCTGACTGCAGATGTCCACTCTTTGTCTAAGGCCTCGGTGGCCTCTTTGAGCTGCGTTTGACGTTCTCTTTCAGTCCTGGTTGGTGATTTTTTTTGTCCTTCTTCAAATGCCATCATTGCTTCATACACTGTCAAAGCACCTAGCCAAGTGCCGGTGGTCCACGCCTGTAATCCTAGCTACTCAGTCTGAAAATCAAGTTTTAAATCCAACCCCTGTCAAGAAAGTCCGTGAGACTCTTATCTCCAATTAACCAACAAAAAAACAGAAGTGGAGCTGTGACTCAAGTGTAAGAGTGTTTGTCTTGAGCAAAAGAGCTAAGGGATAGCACCCAGGTCCTGAGTTCAAACCCCAGAACAGACACACACTCACCACTAGATAAAGTGTTCTAATAAAGAGTAACATAAGCTGAGTGTTGTAACTCAAGCCTATAATTCTACTTTGTGTGTGTATGTGTATGCTAACACTGGGGCTTAGACTCAGGAACTTGCATTCTTGCTTAGTTTTTTCCACCAAAAGTTAGTGCTTACCACTTAAGCTACCTCCATTTCCAACCTTTTGGTGGTTAGTTGGAGATTAAGTCTTAAGAACTTTTATGCCTGAGCTGGCTTTGAAGTCAGATTCTCAGATCTCAGTCTCCCGAGTAGCTAGGATTATAGGCATGAGCCATCAGTTCCTGGCATTCTAGTTATTTAGGAGGTGGAGATTCGGAGATTGTTGTTCTAGGGCAGCCCAGGCAAAAAGCAGTTCGAGAGACTCCTCCATTTCAACCAATGGCTTGGTTATCTCAGCTGTGGGGAAAGCATAATGGTTGAATGCAGTGCTGCTGCATGCCTGTCATCCCTGAAACATGGAAAAGCACAAGTAAGAGGATCATTGCCTGAATATAAAGCTAGACCCTAAAAAAAACCCACTATGTTTTCTGTAATGCACATGTTAAATAAAGGTTATTTTTTTTTAATGCAAAAGGAGCCGTAGGTGTGGCTCAAATGATAGACCATCTGCCTAGGAAGCATGAGGTCCTGAATTCAATCAATAAATAAACAAAATGAAGGATCATTTGCTTTATATGTGTGATTTTGGGTACTGGAAGTTCTTAGTTTCTCTCCCCCTATAATGAGACATCTTTGCTTACTTTTTTCTCTTTGTCTCAGATGGAGGCCCTAACCCTGAGCTCAACAGTCACCTGGCCAACGTCTTAGAGGTGTGTCGCAGCAAGCAAATGCCTAAGTCAACGATTGAGGCAGCACTGAAAATGGAGGTGTGTCTTCAGTTTGACACTCTTGTTACTGCTCATAGTACCCATGGGGTCCAAGCTTGAAAGGCTACCATGCCACAGCTCCACTTCTGGTTTTCTGATGGTTAATTGGAGATAAAAGTCTCATGGACTTTCCTGCTCAGGCTGGCTTTGAACTGTGATTCTCAGATCTCAGCCTCCTGAGTAGCCAACAGGCATGAGCCACCAGTGCTATACACTCTAAACTCACCATATACTCCTTATACACTCTAAACTGACAGAGAGAAGAACAGAAATGTGGTTGAAACCTTCAACCCAGAGATTCCTGGGGGTTCTTTGTCATTGGCCGTTGGTTAGAGGAGCACAATTGGGAAGAGGGTAGGTAGGATAGTATGTAGAACCATATACCAGGAGATGGCCTAGACAGAACAGGCACAGTGTGAGGAAAAGCCTGATATTAGGTTTTTCAGATACTTGTATCTAAGAAGAGCCGGTAGGAAGCAGGGTTGGAGGTTACAGCGCTGGTGGGAACAACGAGGTTGTTGAGCTCCAGGGAGGGGGATACCTTTTCCTCTAGGACAAATAAGAGAATCTGAAAAGGTTAATAATCTTTTTTGTTTGTTTTGTTTTTGTTGTTGTTTTGAGATAGGTCTTTCTTTATAGCCTAGCCTGGCCTCAAACATGCTATCTTTCTGCCTTAGTCTCCTGAGTGTTGGGCTTGCAGTTGTGTGCCACCATGCCCAGCAAGGATCAAATTTGTTTGCTTGCTTTTGTGTGTGTGTGTGTGTGTGTGTGTGTGTGTGTGTGTGTTAGAGTCTTTTATTTATTTATTTTTTTTGGTCTGGTCGTGGGGCCTGAACTCTGGGCCGGAACGCTGTCCCTCAGCTCTTCAGCTCAAGGCTAGTGCTCTATCACTTGAGCCACAGCACCACTTCTGGCTTTTTTCTTTTTGCTTATGTGGTGCTGAGGAATCGAACCCAGGGCCTCAGGCATGCAAGGCAAGCGCTCTACCACTGAGCCACCTTCCCAGCCCTTAGAGTCTTAACTATTTAACCCAGCTGGCCTCAAACATTATGTAGGCCAGGCTAATTTTGAACTCAAACAAACATGAGATTTGGATGGGGAAAGGGAGCAAAGCTAGAGATAGCTAATTGTTCATGGGTCAGGGAAAAAGAGTCCCTTCCAAAATGGTGATGTACTCACAGTTACCTCAAAAGTTGTTCTCATTGGTCTCCTCTCAGAGAATGGGTAAATAAAGACTTGAAAGCCCAAGCTGCAGCCTTAAGAGCCCATCTCATGGGGTCAACTTTTTGGTGCTGGTGGTTTGGGGTTGGCCTGTGAGAAGCCATTGGAAAACAGAAAGATGTGTTCATGTTGTTTGTTGCAGAAAACAAAGGGCATTTATTTGCTGTATGGGTGTCGAGGCCCTGGTGGCTCTTCTCTGCTCATTGAGGCATTGTCAAACAGTAGCTCCAGGTGCCAATCGGACATAAGACATATCCTGAACAAGAATGGGTAGGTGTGTGTCTGGGGTTGGGGCAAGGTATGGGGGGGGGAGGCAGGGGGATGGTGACAGAGGTACAGAACCTTTAAGTTCCAGTCCCATACAAGGCAAGTACTAGTGATCCATGGTGGTATTTCAGGTTCGAAGCACACTTTCTCCAAGCACGATCCTCCAATCAGATAATGTATTTCCCCTCAATGTGTTCTGTGCTAGGTAGGATTCCAAATATGTATTTAATGGGCATAGATGGGCTCTTTTTTTTTGGGGGGGGGGGTCCGGTTGTGGGGCCTGAACTCTGGGCCTGGGCGCTGTCCCCAGCTCTTCAGCTCAAGGCTAGCACTCTACCACTTGAGCCACAGCGCCACTTCTGGCTTTTTTCTTATGTGGTGCTGAGGAATCGAACCCAGAGCCTCAGGCATGCAAGGCAAGCACTCTACCACTGAGCCACCTTCCCAGCCCCTTAGATGGGCTCTTTTATCTCATGATCACATCTAATTTTGTAGAAAGCCCAGGTTTTAAAATGTGCCACAAGGACGCAAAATGATGAGGCAAGTCTTTGCATCCTTTAATAAGGGCAGAAAATAGAAGATGGTGATATTTTTGGACAGTTTCTTTCCCCAGCTTGAGCTGCATGTTTCTCTTTTAAGAAGGCTGCTTCTGTTAGGTGCTATTGGCTCACACCTGTAATCCTAGCTACTCAGGAGGCTGAAATCTGAGGATCAAAATTCAAAGCCAGCCTGAGCAGTGAAATCCATGAAACTGTTATCTCCAATTAACCAGCAAAAAGCTAGAAATGGAGGTATGGCTTAAGTAGCAAGGTGCCAGCCTTGAGAGAAGCAGCTCAGTGCAAGGTCCTGAGTTGAAGCCCCAGTACTGGCACAAAAACAAGAAGAAGGAGAAGGAGAAGAAGAAGAGGAGGAGGAGGAGGAGGAAGAAGAGGAGGAGGAGGAGGAGGAGGAAAAAGAGGAGGAGGAGGAGGAGGAAGAAGAGGAGGAGGAAAGAGAAAAAGAGAGAGCAAGAGAGAGAGAGAGCTGTGAGCTGTTCTCTGTATGTCAGTGTACTCTCCATAGGCAGAGTGGGGAAGAGATCAAATTAGAACTCTGTGCTTTGTGGAGGCTGAGCATTCGAAGGCATTCACATACACCAGTGCATTTCTTTTCCTGTCAGGGGAATGATGGCTGAAGGAGCACGTCACTTCTTTGACCGAAAGGGAGTGGTCATGGTTGGAGTGGAGGACAAAGAGAAGAAAGTTGTAAACTTAGAGAGAGCTCTGGAGCTGGCAATCGAAGCAGGAGCTGAGGATGTCAAGGAAGCTGAAGATGAAGAAGAAAATAACCTCTTTCAAGTGGGTACACAGACTTTGTTCTTGGTGGGCTTCCAAGAGGCCCCTTATAGATACTTTAAAGTATGCCTCTCTTGCTTTCTTCTTTCCAGCCCCTCAGAATACTGGTGAGGCAAAGAGCATAGTGAGAAGGATCCAGAATATTGAAAACCAGCTGAAATCTTAGCTACTCAGGAAGCTGAGATCTGAGGAAGGATTGATGTTTGAAACCAACCTGGGCAGACAAGTCTGAGAGACTCTCATCTCCAGTTAACCAGCAAAAATCTGGAACTAGAGGCATGGCTCAATCAGTAGAGTACCAGCTGTGACCAAAAAAGCAGAGTGAGAGTGTGAGGCCCTGAGTTCAAGCCGCAGTACCATTACAAGTTAGAGAAGTAGGGGTTGGGAGGACAGGGACAGAGACAGACAGAGAGGAAGGAAGAAAGAAAAGGAAGGAAGGAAAAAGAAAGGGATAGAAAAGAATAGAAAGAAAAGAAAACTGAGCTTACACTTAGTGATACATTATAGTGCAAGAGTTCTAGTCAGGACTTAGCAAAGTTATATGGCTTTGTCCTATTACCTCCTGGCCCCTTACCTCCTAACTTTGCTTTATCCCCAGTTTATTTGTGATACCTCTTCATTGCACCAAGTGAGGAAGAAGCTTGACTCCCTTGGCTTGTGTTCTGTGTCCTGTTCACTGGAGTTCATTGCCCACTCAAAGGTGCAGCTGGCTGATCCTGACCTAGAGCAGGCTGCTCGCCTTATCCAAGCTCTTGGAAAACATGAGGATGTGATTCAAGTATATGACAACATTGAGTAATGGGGCCATGCAGATCCCCAGGCTTCTTCCTACGCAAGTGGCAGTGCACCCTGGAGCCCAGGCTTCTGCAGTGATCTCTGAGACAGATGCAGGTGGGAGGCCTACCAATTTAGAGGCCTGTGTTGGTGGCTTGTGGCCTTAAGGCCAAGGAACTACCACACCACTATAGGACTGCTTAGTCAGTTCTGCTGGACTCTCAGAGCCCTCTAGAATGCAGACTGGGACCAGCCAGCTATATGACTCTCATCTCAAGTAGTTCACCCCTGTGGGGAACTGCCCCATCTGTGTACAGGAAGTGCTTTTAAATTGATCTTGGCTGTTTCATTGCTGTTGTATGGCTCTTGAGTTGTCCTCAAGTTGGGTCCAGCTGTTAGTACCTCTGGATTAATTTTCAGTTTAGTTCCACATGCTTAGATCTCTACTCCAGTTCCAGGATTGTAGTTGACTTATTTCTTTTTGGTTGGCCATAGAAATGTGGCCCTGTCCGGACTACTCTGTTGTCTAATGTTCATTTATGGCCTAACCTTGTCATTCAGTCATGTAGTTTTCTCAGACATCTAGAACATACCATGAACCATAGTTACCTAAAGCACAAGGCTGTTCAACTGGTGCCCTGAATTAGATCCTGCCCTAAGACATAGGACTACAGAGGGAAGTTGCAGCGAATTAGCTTTATTCTCTGTGTGGCCTCTGTGCCCTTTTTCACCAGAGAACTTAAGGCCGTAGCTCTATAGGAAATCAGGTACCAATGATGGCCTGTGCTTTGCCTGAGCCCTTCTGTGACCTGGGATTGATTAGAGGGGAGCTGTCAGCTAGGTTTGAAAGCTGAGGTCCTCACAAGACCCATCTCTAGCCCCTTTTTTTTTTTTTAATCACTTCTGCCAAATGATGGGGCTCTGGGAACTAGAGAGAAAATGAGGACAGAGGAAGAAGTAGGGTTGAGTCAGAAGCCTACCCCTTGGTACTTTCTGCTCCTAAGAAAGTCCAGGAACATCAACCACTTGTCAAAGACCTTGGGCCTGGAGTGACGTTTGTATCCCTGTCATCCACCTATTCATAAATTGGTTAAGTCAGTTCTGAGCTCAAGATTAGGTTTTCTATATTGCTTCAGGTAAATAAGAACGAAAAAAGCTTCTAGGAAACTCAGATGAGTAATTCTACAATGACTTCAGTGGCTGGAAAGGAAGAGCTGGGGGGAAATGATTAAAGTGGATTAGTAAAATGAACCAAGATGATGGCAAAGTGTATGCCTTCATATTTCATATCATAATCATAATCTACCTGGGATTTATTAATTTTGTGTGAAATGCCATCTAAAATCTGAATGACACATCATGAAAATGAGATAATGTTGTATGCTGCTCTGTAATTTATAATTTCATAAAATATGTAATTTTTTTATCAGCAAACCTATGAAATGAACCACGTATTTTATACTTAAATGATCTCATACCAAACAGTTGAGAAAAACCTAACACTGCATCTTCCACTGATACACCTTGTTTATAAAATAATGGAACTGGAGGCTCATACCTGTAATCCTAGCTACTCAGGAGCCTGAGATATGAATCTTGATTCAAAGCCAGCTCAGGCAGGAAAGTTTGTGAAACTTGTCTATCCAATTAGCCACAAAAAGCTGGAAATGGAAGTGTGGCGCAAATGGTAGACTGCTAACCTAGAGTAAAAAATAAAAAAAGCTCAGGGATTGGCACACACACACACACACACAAAAGCTCTGTGTTTGGGTACTGTTGAATATGAATTACGTTGGAGAAATCGCATCATTTATTTCTTACTCTAAGAAATCTGTAATGAGGGAGTCTGCTCTGAAAGGGAACTTGGCTACACATGTGAATAGGCCCCTTCTAAGATGGTAGAATTCACAGATAAGGATTGTTGCATAGGCAGTTTTCTTACATCAAGGCCTGCTTGCACTATTGCACAATAATAGCTCCTGTAAAGACGGCTCTGCACTGACCCCTTGTGGTGCTCTGAAATGTCCTTCAGTTAACAGAATGGCAAAAATGAACCCTTCCTTGATCTTTTTTTCTGATAGATCTGGTAGAGACCTTGAACTAATTAAATAAAGGTGACCATATCCATGTGATTATCATATCCATATGATGAGGTGTTAGGAATTATTTTTCAAAAAATATTTCTTCAGGGGCTGGGAAGGTGGCTCAGTGGTAGAGCACTTGCCTTGCATGCTCAAGGCCCTGGGTTCGATTCCTCAGCACCACATAAGAAAAAAGCCAGAAGTGGCGCTGTGGCTCAAGTGGTAGAGTGCTAGCCTTGAGCTGAAGAGCTGAGGGACAGCGCCCAGGCCCAGAGTTCAGGCCCCACGACTGGACCCAAAAAAAAAAAATATTTCTTCAGAAAATACATTATAATACTAAAATTTAGCCAGGTACTGGTAGCTCATGCCTGTAATCCCAGCTATTCAGGAGGTTGAGATCTGAGGGACCTGGTTCAAAGCCAGCCTGGGCAGGAAAGTCTGTGAGACTCTTATCAGACACTTTTTTTTTTTTTTTGCCAGAACTCTGGGCCTGGGCGCTGTCCCTCAGCTCTTCAGCTCAAGGCTAACACTCTATCACTTGAGCCATAGCTCCACTTCCAGCTTTTTTCTGCTTATGTGGTGCTGAGGAATCGAACCCAGGGCCTCATGCATGCAAGCCAAGCGCTCTACCATTGAGCCACTTTCCCAGTCCTCAGAATCTACCAGAAAACTGGAAGTAGAGCTGTGGCTCAAGTGGTAGAGACCTAGCCTTGAGCACAAAAACTCAAGGACAGCACCCAGACCCTGAGTTCAAACCACATTACCCACATAACAAAGAAAAAAAGTTTAAAAAGATACTCAAATGATTGATACCTATAATCCCAGTTATTTAGGAGGCTGAGATCTGAGACTTGCAGCTTGAAGCTAACCTAGACAGGTAAGTTTGTGAGACTCTATCTCCAATTAACCACCAAAAAGGTGGAAGTGAGCAAAAAAGCTCAAGTCTGGTGTCCAGTCCTAAATTCAGTTCTCAGCATAGGCACACACACAAAACCAAATCAAATACCACGTGATTAGCATGCATGAGGTCCTGGGTTTGAACCAGCATCAAAAGGAAAAAAAAAAGATAAACACAATACAGTTCATTTTTTTCCCCCCAGTTATGGGGCTTGAACTCAGGGCCTGAGCACTGTCCCTGAGCTTCTTTGCTCAAGACTAGGACTCTACCACTTGAGCCACAGCACCACTTTTGGCTTTTTCTGTTTATGTGGTACTAAGGAATTGAACCCAGGGCTTCATGCATGCTAGGCAAGCACTCTACCACTGAGCTACCTGCCTAGCCCCATATTCTAGAACATGTTATGTATGGGAAGTTTGAAAGAAAGACTAATTATCTCAGGGTAGTGATGTTATTACTGAAGTTTATTTCTATATTACGTATTGATTTTGTCAAAGGAAATTTTCTTTTTAACTATTACTGTCCAATTAAGAGACAGTATTGGCAGTCTGGGAGTTTGGTATGTCTTAAAGTCAGAGAAATGGTGTTTGGCTTGCATTGCTTTACCTTTGGATATCATCTTAGCACAGTCACTCAAGGTCTTCAAGCTATCTTAGACTTACTTTCAAGACTCTTGATGTGATCGAAGTGGACAGGCTATTCACAGACTTGACTCTTATTAAGTACTCAAGTCAGGTACTGGTGGCTCATGCCTATAATCCTAGCTAGTTAGGGGCTGAGACTTGGAGGATCACAGTTTATAGCTAGCCCAGGAAGAAAAGTTAGCAAGTCTACATCTCCAATTAGCCAGCAAAATGCTAGACTGGAGGTGTAGCTCAAGTGGTATATTACTAGCCCTTACCAAGAAAGCTAAGTGAACATGAAGCCCCGGGTTCAAGCCCTGGTACCAGCACACAGAAACACATACACACAAAAGAAGTGCTCATTTGTGTAGCTACCTCCCTTCTGCCAGAGGTCTGGAATGAATCAAAGAAGAGCCTGAAGCTTGAAGGCTCTGCCTCCAATCAACTGTGGAACTTCAACCATATGATTGAGTTACTTTGTTTTGCTCTCTGAAACTTGAAGCCTAAAACTTTAAGAGGCCCCAACTCCCAGAGTTTTATTTGAATCTTCCATGGGCTCTTCTGGAGACTCCTATGAGTAGAAATGATTTGGGCACTGGTGGCTCTTGCCTATTATGCTAGCTACTCAGGAGGCTGAGATCTGAGGATTGGTTTGAAGCCAGCCTAGGAAGAAAAGTTGGTGAGATGCTCATCTCCAATTAACCAGCAAAAATGGAGGTATGTTTCAAGTGGTAAAGCACCAGCCTTGAGCTGGGAAAAAAAAAAATCCAGTGGGTCTGGCAAAAGTGAATGCTATAATAAACACCATACTAGTCCTGACTTTATTCTATGCCCAGCCACATTAAGAGAACAATTGTTACTTTTTTGTTTATGCCAAAAAGGGCTAAATTTATTGAGTTTTTCTTTTAAGTCAAACCTTACAGAAATATTTGTAAAAACTATCTAATGTACCTCCTAAGGTGTAACCACCATTAGCAACCCACATCATTCCACTCTTTAGCACCAGTCTTCTAGGAACAAATTCTGGACAAGAAAACCTGTGTACTTGATTCTTCACATGTAAAATGGGGGTCTAGGAGCACCTGTTTCACAGGGCTGTTTAATGTATGTTAAGCATGTAACATAGTGCCTGGTAAAATGTTGGTCTTTTGCCTACCAAATATGAATGATTATTTTCTAAAACCAAAGTGCAACCACCCTATATATTTTATAACCTGGCTTTTCCCCTCCCTTTTTCCCTACTTCACAAGGCGTCCTGTTGGTACTAATGTGAAGAAATCTCTTTAATCTTGTTAGGAGCTACATAATACTTTATTGTATTAATGTGCCATAATTTATTTCACCAGACTCCAAATCAATGAATATTGGGTGTCTACCTACAAAAGATCCTGCCATGATTTTTCTTTACTTGTGTCACTTGCAAAGTATGCTTTATTATAAATTTATGGGAGTAAAGTTTCAAAATGAAAAGGATGTTTTTGTTTAGAAGAAAACTCCAATCCTGTCTATAAAAATCTTCTGTGAGGTGTACATTTTCTTTTTCTTTTTTTTGTCAATTGTGGGGCTTGAATTCTGGGCCTGGGAGCTGTCCGTCAGTTCTTCAGCTCAAGGTAAGTGCTCTACCACTTGAGCCACAGTGCCACTTCTAGTTTTCTGGTGGTTAATTGGAGATAAGAGTCTCACAGACTTTTCTGCCCAGACTGGCTTTGAACCGAGATCAGATCTCAGCCTCCTGAGTAGCTAGGATTACAGGCATGAGCCACAGGCCCACAGCTACATTTTCTTTATACAACAAGCTAACTGACTGAACTGGTAATCAAAATAAGTTCTATTTTATATCTGAATTAAAAGAACTTTCATCAAATCAGGTGATAGGTTTATTGGGGCTTTTTTTCCTTTTGTCAACCAAGTCCATTTAGCAGTATAAGAATGTTTGATGAAGCAGGGCGTGGTGGCTCATGCCTGTAATCCTAGCTGCTCAGGAGGCTAGATCTGAGGATCATGGTTCAAAGCCAGCTTGGGCAGGAAAGTCTGTGAGACTCTTTATCTCTAACAAACCATTCAGAAAACTGGAAGTGGTGCTGTGTGGCTCAAGTGGTAGAGCGCTAGCCCTGAGCTGAAGAGCTGAGGGACAGCACCAGGCCCAGAGTTCAAGCCCCATGACTGACACCCAAACTCCCACCCCAACCCCCACCCCCACACTCCCATCCCCCCACCCCTCCCCACACACCCCCACCCCTGCCCCAAAAAAAAATGTTTGATGAGACTAGTTGAGGAACAGACACTGGAAATAAAGCCCACAAAGAAAGCAGATGAAAGAAAGGTAGAAATGAGGAGGCTCTTTGGTTAAAGAAATAATTGTGAAGTAGTTATTTATGTACAAGTTACAATTCCAAGTTCTGATGGTAGAACAGTGAGCAGGAAAAGTCCTTGCTCTGGTACAGCTTATGAGAGTGCTTGGAGGCAAGCAAATGGATTTATAATTTTAGGCACTAGAAAGACAAATATG